GATAGACAGACAGTTAGACGGACAGACAGACGGAAACGGGAAACCTATTTTTTCATACTCGTAAATATGAAAGTAGTCAGTCGCCCGATAGATTCGATTACAATACTTCCTCAGCTTACGCTCGGGTAATAGAAATATAGAGATAATAAAATACTAGTCACAGCCCAACACATTGAGAAAAAAATAAACGGCTACGTTTGGCATTGAACAGATGTGCTCGTCTGAAGGCCACTCAGCCACAAAACTTGATATTCACCTTTACTCTTACGAGATTACTACACTGTGAAATTTTTTTTGTAAAAATTTCTAGAACCTATTCTCCATTTTGTAAAACCCTTACGGGAAAAACTCAAAGCGGGTTCGTACATCACAAGTATAGGAGTGAATATATTATTGTACAAAAATTAAATCATTTTGAAGTAGAATCTTTTGAGATAATGTCATCAAATTGTTGATAGGAATGATTAGCCAAATTTTGATTAGCAATTTAACGTCTACATGATCTTTCTAATATACATACAAAATTTTTCAACAATCTGTTCAGGATTTTCGGAAATTATTGATCAAATAAAAATGGGCACAGACAGACAGACAAATGAAAACGGGAGACCACTTTTTCATACTCTAGCGGTCATGAAAATTCGAGAAAACATGTAAGTTTAATTACTCATACAAAACTGAACTCACCCATAAGAAATACAACATTGCTCTTCCTTTTTTATGGTTCCCAGTGCCCTCACGACAAGTCTCGGTCCTTCTTGATAGAAAAAAGCGTTAGGGTAACAAGAATGATTAAATACACTGAACAAAAAGTATAATCCGCGTGCGTACGTAATCATTTCGTATCCCTCCACTGTAGGCTCTAGTCGATTTATTACAACCTCATTAATATGAACAACTTGTATGATCAAGGGCAACAAACCCTTAAACATCTCCTCCATGCCCTCCAAATCATTAAACAAATCCGTGTGTTTTTTCAGTAGAACATAAATTATACTAGAAACCCATGCAATAGTAAAGTGCATCCTCAATAACAGCGAATTAGTGTAGGCATCCATTTTTATAATTTCTTCAAGGTCATGTGATTTGTTCTGACGGAACTGGATTAATACTAATAAAGTTATTTTAAGGCCCAAGGCGAGGCCGTCTTTGATGGATTTTAGGCGATCAAGTACGTCAGACAGGCAACATTCATATTTGTGCGTTTTACTAGCTACAAATTTGCAATATGTGCTACAGTAGAGAGCTTTAGCACATGCGTCGCACGATATTAAGTTATAGCATACTTTTAAACATTCTGAGCAGTAAATGTAGTTGTCTTGTGTCAATACTGCAGTGTACGGTTTATCGACGAGTACTACTTCGCTGATTTCAATATCTCGTGTGGTCGTTACGTGTCTACCAAACTTGTTGTCAGTGTGGATTTTGAAGGAAGTATTATCACATGCAGTTGCCTGTTCATGATAGTTTGGGTATGCAAGTACTTGCGTTTTACGGTTGGAGTTTTGTTTTTTGATGACTTGTGAGCGTCGAAATGCCAGTTTGTGGGTAAATTCCTGCGAATAGTCGTTATAAAACGCTCTTTCAATGTCCTAGAATATTTGGATGAAGTGTGAAAACAGAACAATTACTAGGTACTCACAACTAAACTTTCTTGATACAAGCCAACTTTTGCCAATACTGCGGATCGACCAGAATAAGCTAAGGCTGTGATTCTTTTGCTTTTGGCCCAGGCCATGGCTGTGGTATAGCTCGCAAGCGCTTCTACATACCTATTCTGTTTGAAATGAACGTTGCCACATTTTCGTATTTCTGTCGAATTTGAATAGTTTTTGTTGCTCGTCAGCATTGTCTCTTCGTACATTTCCCACTGGATATTCTGGTTGAGCAATAAGTTTACCCTTTGGAGGTTACATGCACACTTTTCGAAACTATATTTTACTTGTTGGAAGATAGTTTCCATCTCATCCATTTTGGGGGTATTGATAAATTCAACTATGGTTAATTATGGTCGTTTTGATCATGTGATGGAAAATTTACATAAAAACCCGTTTTTTTTTATAAAGGTTTGAAATATTCCACAACTGTTGCTGTAAATTCTGATTATTTCCCAAAAGCAGGGTCGCCAACATTTGTCAACGTCAAACGTTAAAAAAAGGAGTAACAAAAAGGAAATTTTTGCGTGAAACCAGCATAAATGGGTAAAACCGAGTTAGATACGGTTACGAAACATTGAGCTGTAATAGTATAACTGGAGAGGGAGAGTGAATAGCAAAGTCCCTACTCCCTTTAAACATAAGACGAAATGGCAGCCATATATACTAATATATACTAATGCACATAATTACCATTTCATTGAAAGTTCAGCTTACTACTTGGTAAAAAAAATTGGTCTAAACAGTTTAGACAGTTCTTCCCTCGCTTTCAGAACCGAATCTTTATGTCTGTCATAGATTCTTCTCATTAGAGTTCTGTGATGGGATATTTCAATAAATTCGCTTTCACACTGAAAGTCACGGCTCGTTCGTAATTTGATCAATAATAATAACTTGACTGATTCATTAATTTTTTTGAGTCATCCTGTATAAGTAGACCTAAAAAAAATTAATGCAATGATAAATTACAAGTATAGTCTGATCATCTTTTGCACATTTTCGAAAGAATTTATTCAGAAAAATTCTGAGATGACGTAACCAACTTTTTGGGGTTGATAAATAGATACATTTTGATTAAAAAGTTAAGATTCTTGCAATAATTTCAAAACGTCTGCAAGATTTCAAGTATTCAGTTTTGCAATTCTTGATTTAATCAATAAAATAAATTGACTCAGAGATAATGACCAGAGACATTTTCGTTAGCGTTTTACCATCAAGATGATATTCCTAATATAAGTACAAAATTTGACAACAATCGGTCTAGTACTTTCGGAGATTCTCTGTCTAATAAAACTCCGGGACGGCAGACAGGCGGACTGACGGTAAGACGTACAGACAGACGGAAATGGGAGAGATATTTTTTCGCCTTCTAGGGGTCATGAAAGATACATAATTCGCATTATAAAGTGTTTTTTTACATCTCACTAACACAAAAATCACATTTTCAATGGTAATATTCTTATACCAAAAAATGCATGCCTATTGTGTTTTTTTTACTTCCCATTTTTGCAAGGACACGTATATCAGTTGGGATAGATGTAGTGTAATTTACTCACGTATACGGCGTGTACTAGGAGAGGCAACTGAAAATCGTTTATGTATAAGCATTCTTAATTTAAGACGACAAGCGTAACTCTTGCTGAGACTGTATACGTGAGAGTCAAACAGAGAAACTGTAAACAAAACCGATAGTCGTCTAGAGATTTTTATTGTTTCGACTTCCGCTTATCATATAAGACATTGGGTTTTATTACTTCCCGAGCGTAAGCAAAGGAAGTATTGTAATCGATTCCGTCGGCCGACTCTCTACTTTTACGTTTTCTCGATCTTTCATGACCCCTAGAAGACGAGGAAATAGGTCTCCCATTTCCGTCTGTCTGTCCGTCTGTCCGTCCGTCTGTCCGTCTGTCTGCCGTCCCGGATTTTTATTAGACAGATAATCTCCGAAAGTACTGGACCGATTGTTGTGAAATTTTCTAGTTATATTAGGAATATCATGTATTTAGATGGTTAAACGCTAACCAAAATTTGTCTAATCATCCCCACCACTAATGTGATGACGTCACTTCAAAATTGTACATAGTAAATGGGTTTTAAATTGTACAAAATAATATAGTCCTAAACATGTAGTTTACGACTCCGAATTGAGTTTTTACCCGAAACGTCCAGATTTTTGGAAAAAAAATCAAAATTATAAAACAACATTATGCAATTTAATTTTGAATCTACTAATCCGAATGTTTTGAAATGTTGCAGATGTTTTAAGGCTATAAAGAGCATCATAAATCTTTACTCAAAATATATTTGGTTATCCCCTCCAAAAACTTGATAACGTCAGCTCAAAAAGTTTGCCAAATAAATCCTATGTAACATGTACAAAATATGATGAGTCTGTGCTTGTGATATATCACTCCATTAATATTTTTTGGATTTGCATATACAGGGTGACTCAAAAAAATAATGAAATCTATTGCGAAAAAAAAACATAATAGACATGCAGTCGTCACGTTTCCTGCAGCGAGGGAAGTACTGTCTAAACTCTTTAGACCAATTTTTTTCGCAGTGGATTTCAAAGAATTCGGTTTTGTATAAATAAAATAAATATAAATTTTCGCATTCATGAATTTTTTTGAGTCACCCTGTACATGCAAATCCAAACAATATGAATGGAGTGATAGATCACAGTACAGACCCATCATATTTTGTACATTTTAGATATGATTTATTCGGCAAACTTTTTAGCTGACGTCATCAAGTTTTTGGAGGGGATAAGCAAATATATTTTGACTAAATATTTATTATGCTCTTTATAACCTTAAAACATCTGCAAGATTTCAGAGCATTCGGTTTCGTAGTTCCTGATTAACTCAATAAAATAAATTCACGCATTCATTAATTTTTTGGGTGACTCTGTATATGGAAATCGAATAAATTTGAATGGAATGATAAATCACAAGTACAGACTCATCATGTTTTTCACATTTTAGATAGGATTTATTCACCAAATTTTAGGGTGGCGTCATCAATTTTTTTAGGGGGGGATGAGCAAATAAATTTTGATAAAAAATTTACGATGCTTATGATAACTTTAAAATATCTCCAAGATTTCACAGCATTCGGTTCTGTAATTCCTGATTAATTCAATAAAATAAATTGACGTTTTCATTAATTTTTTTGAGTCACCCTGTATATGCAAATCCAAAAAATATTATTGGAATGATAAATCACAAGTACAGACTCATCATATTTTGTACATTTTAGATAGTATTTATTCAGCAAAATTTTGGAGTGACGTCATCATTTTTTAGGGGGGAAGAGCAAATACATTTTGATAAAAAATTTACCATGTGGTACCGCTTTTACGACCAACCAGGTAATCGCCCGCTAACCTACCCCTTCCTTCGGGCATTGATTAAATACATATAGATAGACCCATGCTATTGTTTGGAGCGAACAGGCCAACGCACGGCGAACAAGAGATGGCGCACCAACAGTCGGCCGTCAAACGCCGGCGAAAAGCTTGGACACCAATCGCGCGCGTAGATAACCCAAATCGCAGCAACAATACATTTAATAAAGCTACCACTCGACAGAGGGCGACGAAAACAATGTGTAAAAATCTCTAGTAAGCATTTATATAATTTGCAACGTTGCCAGATGAGCCTAGCACAACTTTGCCGTTATTTCTAGTCGATTAGATTTTATTTCGTTTGAAAGTTTCTGGTGAATAAATGGAATTATTAAAATGAATAAACAATACAAACAAATTATTACTTGTTATTTTAAATACTTGTTAGTGTTGATGAAAACATAAATGGTAATTAAAGTTATTCTAAATACGGTCCGGTCCGGTAGCTCAAATTTTACAGTACGAGTGATATGTTTCAGGACGAGTAGGTAGCCGAGTCTTTAATTTCGAAACGAGTACTGCGAAAAGAGTTACCGGACGTATGTTGTTATGTATTTTATTTCATACTGTCAACATACTTTTTTATTCGATAAAATTATTATTATTTTGAGAAAAAATCCAAATCGAGTCACTTTTTCTGAGATCGTTAGCAACCGCTCTTTGGTAAATGTTTTAATTTGTTTATTCGTGCAAATCAGCATCATATGTTTAAACACATAGTACTTATAACACTTTACAGGACTTATTGTTTTGTATAATCCGACTCGATGGACGAATGTTTTGTGCAATCCGTCTCGAAGGACCAATGTTTGTGCAACTCGGCTCGTCCTACCAGTATTTTTTGTAACCTGGTTGATACGACAATGTGATACCGAATTGTACTTTGATATTGCTCCAAGGACCTTTGTTTTCTTGCGTGCGAGATAATAGACAGCGTTCGGTTTCGATGATACAGGACGGTTACAGAAGTACTAAATTTACATTTGTATTTACAATAACAGGTAAAGCAAAAGAGACCCAAAAGGGTCAGTGGCCGCTTCCGGAAATGGAAGACTTGTCCTTTTTGGCCACGGAGGTATAGTCGTCCAGATCGTACTTCGTTTTTATGACTGCACCCTATTGTGTAGGAGTTAAATCCCTTCACAATGGGTCCGTGCCGCAAGTGATCCAGCGCTCATAAACCATCAACAGACCAACTGTCTACACTACACAGGGCCGTACTTTCCCCCAGCATGTTGTTAAAATATGTACCTTATCTTACTATTATTACTTATAGAATTGTTCAGCTGACTATCATTGTGATATGGATGCGACGTTGTACGAATCTTGAGTTAGACAACAATTAATTCCCAATCTTCCTGCAGGAACGGTGATAGTTATGGACAATGCCAGCTATCATTCAAAACTATTAAACAAAATACCAACAACGTCCACAAAAAAAGATGATATTATACATTTTATGAGGCACAATGACATAGACATCCCGGCAGGTAAAGCAACAAAAAAAGATCTTTTAAATTGTATAAAACAACTGAATATGCCAAAACAATATCGAATCGATCAAATAGCCAAAGAACATGGACACATTGTGTTGAGACTTCCGCCGCATTACTGTGTTATGAATCCCATTGAATTAATATGGAGTAGTCTGAAAAGATCAATTCGACGAAATAACACAACCCCTAATTTAAGCGCTCAAGTGGTGGATCTGATTAGACAAGAGGTTAATAACATAACAATAGATTTGTGGAAAAATTGTGTAAAGCATGTAATAGACATTGAAAACAGCTATGTTTCACCTAATTTTCAAGAGTTTGTTGTCCATTTAGAGGACGAAGACAATGACGACGATTTAGTAGACTATTTTTTTGATAGTGATAACGACTGATTTGCAACTACATTTTTTGTTATAAAATAACACTATATGTGGATCTGAAAATAGTATGTAAATTATTTATTTACTTATTAATATTGTTAATTTGTTCTCTTTTGTTTAAAATATTTTGTTTATATTATATGAAAAACTGAATAAATATATTTATTTCACCATTACGCTGATTTTTGTCCACATCCCACACTTCTGTGAATGAAAGCGGATCCGGTCCTGCATAGGTAGCTCTCGAAAACCTTTAAGACGATTTATGAGACGGCTGTTCACACTTTCAATAGACCACCAAATGCTTGCGGTAATTGTTATTGCAGTGCCATAAAAACGGAGTACGACCTGGACGACTTTAGAAGAGTGTCTCTTCTACCTCCGTGTTTTTGGCTCAATTTTATCGGACTTGTCCGTTTTTTTGATTTTACCGGAATAGTTCGATCCAGTAAAACGTCAAACTTGACATAGTATGAAGTAAAATAAATAAATTTTATGATGTAAATACAATTAAGTGTATCGATAATTCGCTACTGAAAATTTATTGAAATATAATTTGTGTTAAAAAAAGATTTTTGTGGTTTTATGGTTTATTAAATGTAATTAAAATAAATAATATCAAGAACTTGTATTATATATCAAAAACATTCATTGTAAATAAGAAAATTATGTAAATAAACCATAAAACCATACAAAATTTTCCTGCGACCTCTATTCAAAATCCCAGTTTACCAATAGGAATTAAGGCACAAAGATGTTTCACTGAATTTATTACCGATTTTTCAAGAAAAGTATGCTTATAAGCCTATAAGCGTCTAATGGGTTAAAACAACAAATAATAATCACAATTTATTTGTTTTATGTGTTCATTACAATAATCTCATTTATTTACCAGAAACTTCTAAATGAAATAATATCTGGTTGACGAGAAATATCCGCAAATTTGTGTTAGGCTCATCTGGCAACGTTTTCGGTAGGTAGGTATCAATGGAATAATGCGATTAGGTATACTGACCGTTTTAAGGAGTGCTCGTCCAATAGTGCGTAAACTAAAAGATTTGGTAATTTTCTTGGAAGAGTTTGTTTCTTCAATGAAAATTTATGGTTTTTAATTCTTCGGCCGCTTGAAAGTCTCGCCATGTGAAAATAGATTATTTGATAACCTGTTTCGTAATAATTGTAAATACGAACAAAAGCATATTTGCATATTCTAAACAACTGGCCATATCGATTCCAAACTTGTACAGATATGTTTTTTATTGTTTCTGTTTTCAATGAAATAAATTTTATTTGCAAAATACCTAATGTCTAACGACATATCACGCATACATACTACCCCATTTACTATATTTTCAATCTGTGCATTTTTCGCTTCATTCGTAGGAGCCAAGTAAGAAGTATCAGTGAGACCGGCGGACTTTCAATGGCTCGTAAATGAAAAGATTTAGTAAAGTTTCCTAGAACAGTCTGTCTCTTCATAAAAAAATTTAGACATTTTTACTATGAAATATAGGTACAATACGGTATATTCCACTGTTTGTTTTCTTTGAGATACGACTAGTTCTTGTGCCGAAGTGAAACACCAAAAAGTCTAAAGTCCGGAAATCAGAGTGAATTTTAAAACACATAAAACGACTTCTTTATTTATTTAAATATTGTCCTGTAACGTCCTGTGACGTGGAATGGAGTTTCTTAATGTACAAAAATATGTTAGATAATAACCGAAAAATTTTCTTGATTAAAACTAAAGGAAACACAATTATTACTTGGAATAAAAATAAAGAATATCAAGAACTTGTGGTATGTATTAAAAATATTTAATTTCAAATAAGTAAATTATGTCAATAAACCATAAAACCACAAAAATATTTTTTTAACACAAATTATATTTCAATAAATTTTCAGTAGCGAATTATCGATATACTTAATTGTATTTACATCATAATAGTTATTTATTATACAAGCGGTTAAAGTGAATGTTTAATGAGCGGCCAGTTTAAGGCGAGAGCGCCGTATGCCGCGAGCGCCTTAAGACCACGAATTACACATTCATTTTAACCGCGAGTGTAATTTTTATTCAATTTTGACAACCCCAAGTCCCAAATTGTGAAAAAATTGGTGATTCAAAGTTCACATTCGAGAAAAGTCAGAATTGACAGCGACCAAATAAAAGTTTTATATGCGTAGAATTTAGGTTACAATATCAGGTGTGTGTGTGTAGTATGTGACTCTGGCGACGGTGTTTGTTTATTTTAAACAAACTAAAATTATCGAAAAATTGCAAAATCATGCAAGATTCCAACGGCAAAACTAAACTTGCTACCAAAAAAGAGCAAATCAGAAAGTGTATCAAAAGTTCCTTAGATGGAAAGAGCAGCAAGGCATTAGAGAAATTACAGAAATGGTAACCATGGTTTTAAAACAGTAAAATAAAAATTTTATTTCGCTAGCGGTTTAAAAATTTTATGGTGCTACCGGATAAACCAAAGCTTTAGTGGCCTACTGACGGCAAAATAAACGTTTGTTTACATGTCAAAATTGAATAAAATTTATTTATTTTACTTTATACTATGTCAAGTTTGACGTTTTACTGGATCGAACGATTCCGGTAAAATCAAAAAAACGGACAAGTCCCATAAAATTGAGCCAAAAAGGACAAGTGTTCCATTTCCGGAAGCGGCCACTGACCCTTTTGGGTCTCTTTTGCTTTACCTGTTATTGTAAATACAAATGTAAATTTAGTATTTCTGTAACCGTCCTGTATTAAACATCGAAACCAAACGCTGTCTATTATCTCGCACGCAAGAAAACAAAGGTCCTTGGAGCAATATCAAAGTACAATTCGGTATCACATTGTCGTATCAACCAGATTACAAAAAATACTGGTAGGACGAGCCGAGTTGCACAAACATTGGTCCTTCGAGACGGATTGCACAAAACATTCGTCCATCGAGTCGGATTATACAAAACAATAAGTCCTGTAAAGTGTTATAAGTACTATGTGTTTAAACATATGATGCTGATTTGCACGAATAAACAAATTAAAACATTTACCAAAGAGCGGTTGCTAACGATGTCAGAAAAAGTGACTCGATTTGGATTTTTTCTCAAAATAATAATAATATTATCGAATAAAAAAGTATGTTGACAGTATGAAATAAAATACATAACAACATACGTCCGGTAACTCTTTTCGCAGTACTCGTTTCGAAATTAAAGACTCGGCTACCTACTCGTCCTGAAACATATCACTCGTACTGTAAAATTTGAGCTACCGGACCGGACCGTATTTAGAATAACTTTAATTACCATTTATGTTTTCATCAACACTAACAAGTATTTAAAATAACAAGTAATAATTTGTTTGTATTGTTTATTCATTATAATAATTCCATTTATTCACCAGAAACTTTTAAACGAAATAAAATCTAATCGACTAGAAATAACGGCAAAGTTGTGCTAGACTCATCTGGCAACGTTGCAAATTATATAAATGCTTACTATGAGATTTTTACACATTGTTTTCGTCGCCCTCTGTCGAGTGGTAGCTTTATTAAATGTATTGTTGCTGTGATTTGGGTTATCTACGCGCGCGATTGGTGTCCAAGCTTTTCGCCGGCGTTTGACGGCTGACTGTTGGTGCGCCATCTCTTGTTCGCCGGCCGTTGGCCTGTTCGCTCCAAATAATAGCATGGGTCTATCTATATGTATTTAATCAATGCTTCGGGGAAGTGACCAGGGTGTGACCAGAGTCGTCTCCGAACAACCGACGAGAACAGTACGACGAGTGCACTTGTATATAGCAAATAGTTGTTGATGTTGTAAATAAACATATAAAAGCACATTCCATCGTTTTCGTGATTATTGCGCTAACATCATTTTGGTCCTTCGAGCCGCATATGCAAGCCGAACGTGCAAGTTTCACGTGTTAGTGTAATTAATCAATTCTGCAAAATTCAAGTGCGCGTAACCACGACATCAGCAACAGCAAGTTCGCGTTACCGCAACATCAGCAACAGCAAGTTCGCGTTACCCCAACATCTGCAAAAGCAAGTTCGCGTTACCGCAATATCAACAACAGTTCCACGAGGCCAGCATCAGGTCAACAGAAACAACACAGGTCAGATCCTTTTTTCATCATCCTTATTTTACACGGTGTACCTTTCTTTAGGTGTCAACAAACGCATTCATAATCTCTTCAAATCGTAATCATGTCAGAATCATATATAAACAAACGGGCACAAATTATCAATCGTCTCGAGCGAATCGCTTCATTTGTTTCTACAAGTAATGACATTAGTTTAATTAAGGCTAGGTATCAAATACCTCTAGATACATTCAAAGAATTTAATGTTCTTCAGGACAACATTGAAGAACTAGTACCATTGGACAGTTTTGCTGCACAGAATTTGGAAAGAGTTAAATTTGAAGATACTTACTTTTCAACTATCGCCAAAATGGAATTATTAATTGAACAACTTAATGAGGCCAAAAATGCAAGGGTCAGTTCTGGAAGCAAATCGGAACGACAAACGAATCCAAAATTAAAAATCAACCTACCCACAATTGAATTACCTGAGTTCAACGGTAATTACGCAGACTGGTTGTCCTTCCGAGATGTTTTCGAATCTCTCGTTCATAATAATGAAAATCTCAGCAATCTTGAAAAAATGCACTATTTACGCTCAACATTAAAAGGCGAAGCGCTCCGTGCTATCGAGGCGCTTACAATATCAAGTGCTAATTACGATTCGGCTTGGGATCTTATAACAAAACGCTTTGAAAATCATCATCTGTTGATAGAGGCACATATACGAAATATTTTAAATGCTCCCACAATAACAAAAGGTTTTTATGACTCTTTACGTAAATTAATTGACGACGTAAAAATTAACTTGGAAGCTCTTAAGGTTTTACAACTTCCTACTCATGAATGGGATGCAATTTTAGTAACATGCTTGGGTGATAAATTAGATTTTCAATCGAATCGAGATTGGCAAGGTAAATTAACAACTAACCTTCCCACATTTGACGAATTAATAGAATTTTTGGAGACTCGTTGTCGTTATCTTGAATCTGTTAATAGCAAAGCACGTCCAAATATTCCAGTTATGTTCAAATCAAACAAATTCAATATTAAACATACAAATCAGACACATTCTTCAGTACATGTTACCGTAAAAAACAATTCATGTTTTGTTTGCAAGGGGAATCATTTTATGCATCAGTGTAATGAATTTCTGCAGATGAATATTAACAATCGCATTGAAAAAACAAAACAGTTGAAACTTTGTTCTAATTGTCTCAGAAAACACAATATCTCAGACTGTAGATCATCACATAATTGTCGCACATGTAATTCACGTCATAATACCTTACTCCATCAAGATCAAGTGATAGTTCAATCAACTAGTAATCATGTGTCATCATTTATTAACAATATTGAAAATTTGCTGTCCACGGCAGTGGTATTTATTATGGACAACCTTGGTTATTTTCACAAATGCAGAATACTATTAGACAGTGGTTCGCAATATAATCTAATAACTAGAGCATTTTCCAAGAAACTAGGACTAAAAACAGGCTTCACTAATCACAAACTAACTTTTGTCAATCAGTCTGAATCCAAGGTTACAGAAATGACAAGCGTAAGTTTAAAAACAAGGTTGAGTGACTATACAGCCAACATTAATTGTTTAATTCTAGAAACAATAACAGAACCACTACCCCTAAATTGATTCTCCGCTCAACAATTAAGTATTCCAAATACCTTGAATCTAGCCGACCCCACATTTAACATTAGCGGTCCTATCGATTTACTCATTGGTTCGGAATTATTCTTGGATATATTAACATCCGGTAAAATCCTATTAAAACCGTTACTTTATCTGCATAATACCACCCTCGGATGGATTTTGTCGGGGCCTTTGAGTGTAGGATTTTCTAAGGAATTCCCAGCTTCTAATAATACTTCCTGCAATAACAATACAGTGACCATAAATTCTGATTTCGAAAATTTATCTAAACAGGTAGCAAAATTTTGGGAAACAGAGGATTATCACACTAATAAACCAGTACCCGTCCAGCAAGATATTATTTGTGAATCACATTTCAAGGCAAACACAAAAAGGGACGCCAACGGTCGTTTTTGGGTTTCCCTGCCCATAAAAGACAATTGCAAGCAATTAGGGTCTTCCTCCGAAATGGCTCGCAAACGATTTCTCAGTTTAGAAAAGAAACTAAATAAGGATCCAAATTTAAAATGAAAATACGTTGAGTTCATGCGTGAATACGAGGAACTTGGTCACATGGAAAAGGTTCCAAATGATCAATTACATAATCCAAATACATATTACATACCACATCATTCGGTCTACAAGGGAACAAAAATTCGGGTAGTTTTTGATGGTAGCATGAAGTCCGACAACGGTTTGGCCTTAAATCAAAATTTACTTGCGGGTCCAGTTATTCAGCAGGACATTTTCGACATAACACTTAGGTTCAGAACATTTCAATACGTTATCAACGCTGACATTGCTAAAATGTATCGGCAAATTTATTTAAATACACCCGATCGCGATTACCACCGAATATTTTGGCGTGAAAACAGGGAAGATCCCATGCAAGTCTACCGTTTGACAACAGTCACATATGGGACCACCAGTGCCCCATTTTTAGCAATACGATCACTTCAACAATTAGCACACGAAAACCGGGAGTCATTTCCAAATGCAAGTGCCAAAATCATTCGAGATTTTTGTGTTGGTGACTTACTATCAGGTGCTGATTCCCTGCCACAAGCCATGGAATTACAATCACAAATTGACAACATTTTACGCTCAGGAGGTTTTCATTTAACAAAATGGGCATTTAATGACATAAATTTAATACCTGAAATTGATCGCACCTTTACCGACAATTTTAATTTCGACAAGCATGACACAAATAAAACACTAGGTTTATATTGGAATTTTAGTCAAGATACATTAGGGTATAAATTCAATATTAACACCAACACATCTTCTACAAACATAACAAAAAAACACATTTTGTCAACCATCTCAAAGGTGTTTGACCCCTTGGGTCTAATAAGTCCCATTGTAGTAAAGGCAAAATTGCTATTACAACAATGTTGGTCGGCAAATTTAAGCTTGGATCAGAGGGTTGCCCAAAACATTCATGGTGAATGGCTAAATCTCATTCACGATTTAACACATCTGGATAAAATTCGTATCAGTCGCAAAACAATACCTCCAAACGTCACTAATATAGAGTTACATGGATTTTCGGACACTTCCGAAAAGGCTTACGGTGCAGCTATCTATTTACGAACTGTCGGCATTGACGGAAATGTTCAAATTCAATTATTGACCTCAAAATCGCGCGTCGCGCCAATCAAAAGAGTGACAATTCCAAGATTGGAGCTAATGGCGACAGTACTTTTATCCGATTTAACAACTCGCATTTCTCAAATATTAGACATCACTATATCAGCTAAATTCTTTTGGACGGACTCGACCATAGTTTTACATTGGTTGTCTAAACCGGCTACACACTGGCAAATTTTTGTAGGTAATCGAGTAGCGCAAATACAATCTAATTGCAACATTGACCAGTGGCGTCTTGTTAACGGTGTCGATAATCCCGCCGATATAGTTTCACGAGGAATGTCCCCAGAACAATTGTCAAAATGTACTCTATGGTGGCACGGGCCACATTGGTTAACAAAAAACTCAAACAATTGGCCAGGTAAATTTCAACTCGATGTTATGCTACAAGATGTTCCCGAAACACGTAAAAGAGTAACAACAACGATAACAAATAATAATTGATCGTTCACGTTAATTGAATCTTTCTCTAATTACAATAGACTCATTAAGTGTGTAGCGTATTTTTTTCGGTTTATTGAATTCATTACCTCGCCGTCAAAAAATAATTTTAACAAAAGATCATTACATCCACAAGACTTCGATGAGGCGCGCATCAAAATCGTCAGATTTGTTCAAAAACAAGCTTTTAGTAACGAATTTAGCGACTTGAAAGAAGGTGGTGAGGTTAGTAAAAAAAGTAAACTGTTAAGTTTAAGTCCATTTCTAGATCAAAATAACATTATCAGAGTTGGCGGAAGAATAAAAAATTGGTCTAAAGAGTTTAGACAGTACTTCCCTCGCTGTCGGAAACTTGACGACTGCATGCCTATTGTGTTTTTTTTTCTCATTACATTTTTGTAGTGGGAATTTAAAAAAAAATGGTGATGACGTCATCAACATTTTTGCAAGGACACGTATATCAGTTGGGATAGATGTAGTGTAATACTAAGAATAAAATTATTTATTCCCAAATTTTCGGGAAAATGAATTGGGTCGTTTTGAATATTGATTTCTTATAATCAATAAAATAACGAAACAATTTACTCACGTATACGGCGCCGGTGTGTAATATCTAGAGAGCGGATTTCTGTCGGGCTAGGCAAGGCCAAACTCGGTACGGCTCGTATGTACGGGATGCGAATTCATTGCGGTTGCGGACTGCACTTCGTTTATTTGAGATTAGAATAACGCTGTTTCATTGCACTCTGCTGTTAATTCCCGTTCTCATTTACTTAGCCGTTTGATTAATAAATCGTTAATTATATTTATGGAATTAGTACCGATTAAATTCAGTGATTAGCTATCACCCGCTACTGAGTCCCGGCGATCCAGCGCGTCCCCACCTATAATCGTGACGTAGCCCGACAAAAATCCGCTGTCTAGTAATATGAAAGGCAACTGAAAATCGTTTATGTATAAACATTCTTAATTTAAGATGACAAGCGTAACAGCATACGTGAGAGTCAAACATAGAAACTGTAAACAAAACGACCATCGGTTTTATTACTTCGACTTCCGCTTATTATATAAAACATTGGGTTTTATTTTAATTCTTGACGGTGAAATTCACAATGGTTGATTATAAACATATCTATTCCACATTCGCGGAACCAAGTGAGCGCATAAAACAAATGCAGGTCTGTAATGTTAAAGTCGATGTAAATAAGCGTGCTACCCTTATGTTTCAACCGAGTTTTTCCTTTAACAAATTTTGTGTCTACCAAATTGGGTTGGTTGGGGTGTAATACTAATAATAAGTGTTGTCTTTAATTTAATCAATAAAATAAATTGACTTCATTAATTTTTTTGAACCACTTCTTAAGAAAATCTAAAAAATATGAATGGAATGATAAATCACAAGTACAAACTCATCATATTTTTTGCATTTTAGATAGGATTTATTCAGCAAAATTTAAGGGTGACGTCATCAATTTTTTTAGGAGGGATGAACAAATACATTTTGAACAAAAGTTTACCATGCTTATAATAACTTTAAAATATTCCCAAGATTTCAAAGCATTCGGTTTTGTAATTCCTGATTAAATCGATAAAATAAATTCACGCCTTCATTAATTTTTTTGAGTCACCCTGCATATGCAAATCCAAAAATATGAATGGAATGATAAATCACAAGTACAGACTCATCATATTTTGTACATTTTAGATACGATTTATTCGGCAAACTTTTGAGATGACGTCATCAGTTTTTTGTAGAAGATAACCAAATATATTTTGACTAAAAATTTATTATGAATGGAGTGATAAATGACAAGTACAGACTCATCATATTTTGTACATTTTAGATATGATTTATTCGGCAAACTTTCGAACTGACGTCATCAAGTTTTTGGAGGGGATAAGCAAATATATTTTGACTAAACATTTATTATGCTCTTTATGACCTTAAAATATCTGCAAGATTTCAGAGCATTCGGTTTTGTAGTTCCTGATTAAATCAATAAAATAAATTTACGCATTCATTAATTTTTTTGAGTCGCCCTGTATATGCAAATCCAAAGAATATGAATGGAGTGATAAATTACAAGTACAGACTCATCATATTTTTACAGTTTAGATACGATTTATTCGGCAAACTTTTGAGATGACGTCATCAGTTTTTTGTAGAAGATAACCAAATATATTTTGACTAAAAATTTATTATGAATGGAGTGATAAATGACAAGTACAGACTCATCATATTTTGTACATTTTAGATATGATTTATTCGGCAAACTTTCGAGCTGACGTCATCAAGTTTTTGGAGGGGATAAGCAAATATATTTTGACTAAACATTTATTATGCTCTTTATAACCTTAAAACATCTGCAAGATTTCAAAGCATTCGGTTTTGTAGTTCCTGAGTAAATCAATAAAATAAATTTATGCATTCATTAATTTTTTTGAGTCACCCTGTATATGCAAATCCAAAAAAGTCCTTGCGTTCAAGTTTTAAATTGTTAACTTTCATTGCACTGTTTCGGTTATACTATCTTTATTGTTTATTGTTAAGTTGTTATCATACCACCTGTACAAACATTTTTATTCATGTAATGTACGAATATTGTTAAATTGTTGTTGTATTATCTTTTAACTTGTACAAACATTTCCTTTCATGTAAAGTACCAATAAACATATTCTATTCCATTCTAAATACGATTGGCATTTATGGAATTTCAAAATTTCTAGCCGTTTTCAAGATATGCGGCCATGGTAGTTGTGTTCCCGGAATTGGATGGATAAGAGATTATCCATGAAAACAAACAGTATACTATATATATATATATACCTGTATGTACCACTTCGTAAGAATGTGCAAAGTTCACAACAAACTTCGCAGAAGTGGTGGTGTAAGAATTTTCATATTAATGAGTATCCACAAACATACCATAAACAGTTGTGTTCTTTCAAGGTGAGTTTCCGGTAACTCACATCACTTAATGATTGTTGAAGAGGCTGGAATACAGGGGAGATGTGTTGTGGAAGTTTGTTTAAAAGAACACCTTGGCAAATTTTTCATTTCAAATAAAATAGTGTTTCACAGTTGGTTCTTGCACTCGTATCGAAATAATCTGTAGTAAATAGTTTCCGAAACACACTTTGGAATTATATTAGTGTGGGATTTATACAATTCCCAAATTGACGTCTCACAGAGCCAAACAAATACATATGTCAAACAATACTGATTTAGTTGCAGCAACCTTTTAGTGAAAATTGTAAATAAATTGTATTCTGTGAAAACTATTAAAAATAATAAGCAAAATATTTATGTTCCTGAGGTTGTTTTTTATTTTTTTGTGAGTGATTTAAAAATATTAAGAGTGAAATAAAAATTTTGCAATTCACTTGTGGATAACAACTTATTTGTCAGACTTGTTAAGGATTTAATAAACGCAGTTTAAAACGTCAAAATTGAATAAAAATGTTTTGCTTGAATATATTAATAATTTATAAGAAAGAAAAAAGTGGCCAATGTCACTAGTACATGCCACCCATTTTTATTTTTGTGTACCCGTTCCGCAAATATTGCTGAAGTTTCGTTACTGATCTACTGTGGTGATAACAGAGTGTCTCCTGGCGATGTACTAATTTTAATCGTAATAACACAAATAAAATAAATTATTTATTAAAAATAGAACAAACTGTCAACAACCTCTAAAACTTGCAAGACCTTTATAAAGTGTCACACACTTACAATATTTAGAAAACCACACGTACAAGATAGAAACGTCAACTTTTATAACGACGCCATGTTGGTATTCTGAAAAGTGTCATAAAAAAACGTGTTAGTCATACCACGTAACTTACCATTGGGTCTCATTTCGTACACGACCAAATCACCCTTTTCGAAGTCCGTTATTGCTTGATATAACCCGTGTAAAAAGTACCTCACGATGTGCTTATTTTCCTCAGGTACGTCGTCCCAAGCCCTCGGACTTTGATAACACAGAAGCCACACTTCATCCGGCTTCACGTAAGCCCAGTCGCCGTCGTCGAAAACCACCAAATATCTACAACCAATCGCGACATTACACGCGCCGAGTCGTTACTTTGACAGACCTTTGTAGGTTCTGGTTGGTTGGAAATTCCATAACCACGCCCTTTTCGTGCTTGCGTCGTCCTCGTGACAGTTCGCCGGTGGTCGATAGTTGTTTTTTCAAAGCCACGACACGGCTGCCAACCTCTAGGACCCGGGTGGGCGGTTCAGGGTAGGCTATGTTTTTTTTGGTGGTTGTTATGTCGTTGAAGGTTTGGTTGTCGGCGAGGTGGACGACGTCTTCGCCGACGTGGATAAGTTTGGCTTTTACCCACTTTTTGTTGTTTTTGTTGGGGGTGAGGTAGGTTTCCATGAGTTCGAATTTGGGGGGTTTGGGGTCCAGGGTGCTGCCGAACGGGAACATGGATTCGACAGCAGACTCGGTTTTTAGGGAGTTGAGGGCTAGGGGTAAGGGTTTGGGCATGGGTCGTAGGGGAGCAATGTGTTCCACTTGGAGGTCTAAGCAAGTAGTTCAAGTTGAACAAATACAAATTAGTAAATGGTAGTGCCGTTTTCACGCTTGAAAAACCCGTGTGTAACTGTAAAATATTTCTGCGCATGTGCTACTTACCCGGGCACTGAATTAGTTTTTTCAGCAGGTCTAGCGTCTCCCGGTGGTCACGCCTGTGGTATTCTATTGTCTTAGGTGGAGACCAATGCCACTTTTTGGTGGTTTCGTTGAAGCTCAAATTTCTTTCTTCAGGGTCCATTATCTGATTCTTAGTAACAGCAACAAAAAAAATTGACGGAAGAAATGTGACTTTCGGAACATTGACAAACAAGGTGTGTTGATTTTTTGTTTTTATAATGGTGTCGTTGCTTTGGTAACGGGTGCCATTGTAACTATGATTATTTTTCAATCAAGGATTAACTTGAAAAGTAACTAAATTCCAGGTTATGTTTGTTTTTTGTGCATTAAGTTTTCGAAACTTAAGGTGTTGCGTTTATTGAATGTCTATACTGCTAGGAAACAATCAGTTGAAGGAAAAAATAACAAATTGGAAAATTTATTTCTGATTTATACAGGGTCATTATAAAATACTGTAGTCAACTCACCTATGAAAAACGTTTAAGGGCTTTGTCATGAATTACACCTTGGAAAGTCGATTGGAGTTGAACAGAATAAATCATCTGGTCTGTTTTGCAAAGAAGCAATAATTTTTCAAATAATGAAATCCAAAAAGTGAGGTTAAGTTTGTCGAAACCAATGAACACGGTAATTATTTAAAAAATTACATTTTTATAGGTACCCTGAAGGTAAAAATTGTGAAAAATCACGTAATGGACAATGGCAGAGCAAGTCTTATCACAGTTAACGAACACTATGAGTACCTAATGAGTTTTTGCAGTAAATAATTTTGCCAAAGTTGTGATCCCGCGAAAGTTCTGTTTGTAAATTGTAAGGAATCGTCAAAATATTGGTGCAGACATGGTTTGTGACCGGTGCTTTTCTCTTGAAAAAACACAACTGAAAGCCTTGATCTTCATCCCTACAATAGGTGAAAACTGCTATGTCCAAACATTACCTTCAGCTTTGCAGTTTCTAGATATCTGAAACATGCCAGATCTGCATAACAGGAATGTCAAAGAGGTTCTACCCAAAACACGCCCACATGGCCATCCTAATATCAAGATTTTTCAAAATTTCTATAACAAAAAAGATGAAAAAACCAATAAAATTTCAGGAGCATAGTGTTAAGAGTTCTGTAGATGATTATGAGATCTCTTGAAACAACAGAATGTTTAATAAAGATTTTTAACTTTCCTAATAGTAAAATTACAATTATTACTAAACAGTAAGTTGAAGTAAGTTTTAAATTAAGAAAATGCAACTAACACCGAAAGAAAAATGAAAGTTACTGAAAATAAAAAACTTTATTGCAGTACCTACATACACTTTCTACATCTAATTTTGTTTATTGATCACATTCATTTACTTGAAAAAGTATCAGGCCTATGAATCGTCGTCTGGAAACAGCTAACCACACACCAACCTTCATTGCGTGTGATGGTGTTTCTTCAAAAGCGTGAGTATTTTCTATACACCAAATTCTGAAGTTCTGTCAGTTGACATAATAGCCTAACAGATGAAACCAGGCTTCATCAGAAAAGAACGACAAATCGAGAATCCCGTTATCGTCCATATCAGCTTGAAACCAACTACAATAGCCAACGCGGCAAGGAAAATCAGCTGGTTGCAGCTCCTGAACCAACAAAATCTTGTATGGATGCATATGTAACTTCTCTTTTACGATTTTCTGACATGGGCTGTATGGTACTCCGGACAGTAAAGATTTTTGACAAAGCTTTATTCGGACTTTGTTCCATTCTCATCCTTAAATCTTCAACAACGTCTTCACTAACTTGAGGTCTCCCCGTCGGTTTTCACTTAGAAATGCTACCAGTGTCGTTAAATCTGGCCATAATTCGCCATATAGCGTCTTCAAAGATTCTTCATCAATGACAACAGAACATTTCACTAGATACTCGTTTTTAGACGCCTCCACAGAGTACACTCCATCCCCATCCTCATTTAACACCCCATTACGGTAATAGGCATGATGATTGCGCCAAAGAACTAAAAAAATCATTTGTAACACTAACCATAGTTATTCCTCTCTGTTCATTACCTGAGATTATTCCACAATGATCTGTAGTTTTGATAAAAACTGTTTTTTGAGACACTTATTAAAGTTCTAACAATGGGGAAGACAGCAAAAATGAAAACAAGACAAGTCAATTAACGCACAAAGTGAGGGAAAACGTACCAGTACAAACGAAAAAATTATTGACATCTGACAGAATTAATAATGTCTGTGCTAATCAGCGTTGCCACGCCGTTTTACTTACTATCGGTAGATTTCTTGGATAATTTTCGGTAAATTTCGGCATTTTTTCGGTAGATCGGTTTTTTGTGATAGAAAAGGTATTACACATAAATAATAGGTACGTTTTTTTTTTATCATATATGAAGAAGGTAGAAATATTTTGTTATTAAAAAGAAACAAATAAAAAACAAATATTAACATAGATCATTTAAAAAAATATATCTATGAGTAAGCATGCTAAAGGTAGTAGGAACATTTTGTTAAAAATAAAAACACAATGAAACTATAATATTCCCCTTAATTATTGCCTCAGGTGCTGAACTGTTTCGGGGATATACTGAATTTTGTCTAACTAATTAAAAAAAAATCCCCTTTTAATTATAACGCGCTTAAAAAGAATAGATATTTGGCGCTATCTGTAAAAATGTATAGTGGTTACGCTGGTGCGTAATAGAGGGAACTAAACAAATCCGCAGAACTAAATCTATACTGAAAAAAATATTAAGGAATAAAATTATATAAAAAAAATTATTGAAAATTTATAAATACATTAAAAATAAATTCTTGAATTATCGTAGACTTTTCGGTAGATTTTGTGTTTCAATCGGTAGATCGGTAGACAGAGCCCAAAATCGGTAGATCTACCGAAAATTCGGTAGAAGTGGCAACACTGGTGCTAATGTCAACTAATGTGGCGCTAAAAATAAAAATTCCAATATTAGTGTAATCCTTTCCACAAAACTGAAAAAGGCGGCACAAAATGTCACCAAAATCATGGCCTTCTTCGACTACAATATTTTATAATGACCCTGTATAAGATATACAAAAGAGGCGTTCTTACCTCCATATCCGTATATGAGTGGGTACTCGTAGTTTGTTGTTACCTCCAACAGCGTTGTCAAGTTTATACACAAGCTATCCTCTTTTACGTATATAGCTATTTCACACCAAATTAGATATCTTGATTTCGTGCGATCATTCAAAGAAAGTGTTTAATTATATTGCTGAATTTTTTGGATATTTTTGGTAAAAATTGCAAAATGATTCCATTTTTTTTATAGGAATAGCAAGACATCATCCTAGAAATGCATAAAAAAGTCGATCGAAGGTTATTTCGACAGAACTTTCCTCGCCTCTGAAGTACAATCAACTCCAGCTTTTTTGAAAATTATTTGATTTTGCGAATTTTACTTTTTACTTTCCAAACGTAAGGACGTATTGTAAACGGGTCCGTCGGCTGAGTCTCTACTTATACGTTTTCTCGACATTTTATAACCCATAGAGTACGAAAAAATGGATCTCCCGTTTCGGTGTGTGTGTCTGTCGGCCGTCCGTGACGATTTTTGTTAGACAGATAATCTCCGAAAGTACTGGACCGATTATTGTGAGTGAAATTTTGTACTTATATTAGGAATATCATGTTGATGGTAAAACGCTAACCAAACTTTGTCTAGTCATCCCCACCAACAATGTGATGATGACACCTCAAAATTGTACACAGTATTGTCTTTGCCATTTCTATTGAAACACCACCTGTTGATTTTGCTTAAAATTTAGCAATTGGTAACAGCTTTCGGTTGGTTGACAATGGCTTTTAATTCGAAAATTCTCTGAATATGAACGTTGCCAAATTTATTAACAGGTGATGTTTCAATAGAAATGGCAAAGACTATAAATAGGTTTAAACTGTGTAAAATAATATAGTCCTACACGTACAGTTTATGAATCCGTGTTGAGTTTTTACCCGAAACGAGCAGATTTATGGAAGAAAAATCAAAATTATATAACAATTGTGTGTTGCAAGTTAAAACTTACATTGTAAAATATACAATTTTAATTTTTTTTTTTCCAAAAATCTTGATGTTCAGCGTGAAAACGCAGTACGAATTCATACATCACAAGTGCAGGAATATCGTATTTTATAAAATTAAAAAAATACTATTGTAAATTTTGGATCATCCCATTGGTGGGGGGATGATTAATCAACTTTTGGTCAGCGTTTTGCAATATACACGATATTCTTAACATAAGTATAAAATTTGATAACAATTGGTGCGGTAATTTCGAAGATTATCAGTCTAATAAAAATTGACACAGACGTTGGAGAGTCAGGCGTCAGAGAGACGGAACCGGGAGACCAAATTTTTCGTACTCTAGACGTCATGAAACGTCAAGAAAACATGCAAGTAGCAAGTTGCTATATAGACTCGATTACTATACTTGTGACTGTATTATAAGTGAAAGTAATTCGAAGTCCTGGAATTTAAGACTAGACTTTTCAAACTGTATGCTACTGTTGCTAAAAACTCACATTTCATCACTCGCAGGCTGTAAACCAACCTGAATTCTAATTCTAAGGCGATTTTGACATGTTTCGAACGCTATTACTGACAGAAACGTCTTATAATTTTTGTAATTGTAATTGTAATCGAGTCCGTCGACCGACTCTCTACTTTTACGTTTTTTCGAGCTTTCATGACCCCTACAGTAGGAAGAAATAGGTCTCCTGTTTCCGTGTGTCTGTCTGTCCGTTTGGCTGCCGTTCCAAATTTTTATTAGACAGATAATCTCCGAAAGTACTGGGACAATTGTTGTCAAATTTTGTATTTATATTAGGAACGTCATGTAGATGGTATAACGCTAACCGAAATTTGCCTAATCATCCTCACCAATAACGTGATGATATCATTTCACAATTGTACATAGTAAATGGGTTTTAAATTGTATAAAATAACATGTAGTTTATGAAGCCGTGTTGAGTTTTTATCGAAACGTCCAGATTTTTGGGAAAAGAATCAAAATTATAAAGCAACATTTTGCAATTTAATTTTGAATCTGCAAACCGGAATGCTTTGAAATCTTGCAGACGTTATAAAGTTATGATAATCATGATAAATTTTTAATCAAAATTATTTACTTATCCCC